AAAATGTTTTTCCGAATATTAATCATTCCGATTTCTGAACAACGCCCCTTTGCGGGTGACTCGACAACAATCTATGTATAAACACGACTTTCTGTTTTTTTTTTTACTTTACGCAAAAAACAGCAGCAATAATTTTGATGCAGTTAAGAAAGAATTACGCAAGTTGAAAAATTTGTCAAACCGATGAATGTAAATACGATTTACTGTTTTTCTATTGGTGTAAATTAGGAAAAAATATATATAAAACACCGCAGCAATAGTTTTTATATAGTTTAGAAAAAATCATGAACAAGAATTACCTTGAAAGGAGTATCAAGTGTATCAAAAGTCGACTTATCACCACCGACCGTTGACGAAAACAAACAAAGACTTGAATCTCCAACGGCTGTCGCTGCTGCACTGTGCGAAATACGCCGTTCGATCTCCTTCGCTTGTCCTCAGTCCTCACATATGCAAACACAACCGAATTTTACAACTGATCAACGATACCGCAGTGCCTCTTTTCCCGTGTGTCGTCGTGACTGCCGCGAAGAAAACTCACAGTCGAATCAATTGATATCTTACTAAACAAATTCGAGGAAAAATCGTGTTTGTTGCACAGAACGCGAATATCGCGACTGAATTAAAATATCATGTCAGAAAAAGCAGACAATATAGAACTGGGATTCCCTCGCTGAGCCTGAGAATCATGTAAGCAAGTTGCAAGGACGGCCGGTCAATTCAAAATTGCTCTCTTGACAGTCACTCGCACTTGATGTTCTGAATCTCCGAAAAATCTTTTTAGTATGTGGGGGTTGTGAATTGATTTGTTTTATTGTACATTTTGTTGTTATAGGCATTGTGTATTTAAGAGATCACTATTGGGAAAAAATTAATTTTAATACATTTTTTCTATTGCTTCATTGAATATTAATATACGTTTAATTTTCAAAATTATAGCGTAGCATAAAACGATCTGAAAGCTGCTACATAAGATAGTGAGGATTTTATTACCTGAAATTAAATTTTTTTATTATTTTAAGTCATGCCATTTTTTAATGAATGATACACTATTTAAGGATTGAATTTATTACAGGCAACTAAAATATCTACGTGCAGAAAATAATGTAAGTTATTATTGCCGTCAAAAATTATTTAATTTACTAATGAAATCAACATCTTACCGTACTGCAAGTTTCGAAATTTAAATCGATGTACGATCCAGCATTCAATACAAAAAATTTCTGCGTCCTCACCAAAAGCAATAGTACGAAAATTCTAGCTTTTGGTGGGTATTCGTACCAATTGATACGATAACTACGTGAAAGTTCAATACAATTAATTATCCTACGTAAGTAATTCTAATTTTCTGCTTAGAGCGTTACCTTTGAATAAACATGTCATTGCTTGCGTTACTTAAAAGTTGACTTGGAATGCATATGTCACGTCGGGAGACGGGACTTTTGTAACCTCACGGTTACTGTGGTCTTGTATAAAAAATTTTTTAGTGCCAAGACGAGACGTCTTATAGCACAGGGTATATTTCCGTGNGTTTTTGATTATGTTAAATATATCGCGTTTTTAGAGGTGATATCACACATATTATTATTGTCGATACTATGCCAAAACAGAACACAGCGATCATTTTCACACCTAACTCAATGTCAGAGTTGATCGACGTTACTGCCTAAATCATCAAGATAAATAAGATCAAATTTTAAACTTGGCTCTTGTTACACGAGAAAGTATAAAAATCGCTCAACATGATATCTTTGATATTCACCAAAGTGCCGCTTGTAATGAGAGTGAACGATGCCACTGTGAGCCCCGCAAACATTATTGAATTGCTTATGTTCCGTAGATTTTCATAAATCCTGTAAAACACATGATGCATTAATTTTTTAAAAATGCTGAGCAGTAGCAAACAGTACATAGCTCGTGCATATGTCTACACTCACGGATCGTTAGTATACATATTAATGCAAACATGGCCGTAGCCAGCGGAATTTTTGATTATACTATTTGCTGATAGTAACCCAAGCTATACATAAGTAGCCCAGTTTAACCCCCTCCGAAAAAATTTTCAGCCTACGGCCATAAATGCAAACGTGTACTGCACTACAGGTTTACTATATGACTATGCGTTTTTTGATATGTCAATTCCATTCGTCAAAACTTTAAATTGAAATAAAATTATTACAAAATTGAATAAAATTAAAAAATCAATTGAAATTCATTCGAAACTACGTCTCGAAACCAATTTAATTAAAAAACTCCAGAAAAATTCAAACGTCAATTCAAGACCCGAGCAAATCAAAAGATTAATTTAAAAATATTTTAAATTTTATCAAGAAAAATAAACCATTTTTGCTTTGGTGTTCTTTTAATTACGCATACTAAGCCCAAATCTGCAAAAGACATTTGTGCATCGGTCTGTTATTTGGAATAAATAAAAATAAAATTTCGAGAAGTTAGATTTGAGCCTATTGAAAGTAACTTATTATAATTAATATTATGTCGACTTGAAAATTACTTACTTTATACATTTATAGTGTTCTCTTATTACTTGCTTCAATCGTTTTATAAGGAAATTATGAGCCTTTTCTGAATTTTTATGCAATTTGCGGTATCCAGCATCAGTTTCTTTTAAAAAGTATCTAATATGCAAAATTGAGTAAGTTGAATCATTGACAGTTTGATGAAAGAAAATAGTTTACTCGAGATTTTAACTCTAACGTACTGCAAACAATGAAATTCGCCCATGATAAATCCAATAATTAGACATTGAATATTGTTCATTGATCCAACTATGTTCGCATTGTTAATTACACAAAATAATTGTATTGCATAAAAAGAATAAAAATATTTATCCATGTCGATATGAAAATCACAAATTATTGGCAGAGTTTTTTGGAATGTTTGATTTCCTGGGAGTATCCATGAGCCAAAAATTTTAAATAATAATGGAGCCGATCCAAAGCTTATGCTCATAAGTATAAACATTACTGATGACAAATATATAAGGTTTAAATTTCTTTAAATTAATTTCTTTAAATTAATTTTAACAAAAAAAGGAAGAACTGTTAACCCAATATTATAGAACTGAAGGCATTCACCTTTCGAAACATGTTATCAACCATTTTTTGTTCTCGTAGATCGTGGCTTTTACGTATTTTTGACATTATTTTTATGCATGTGATGATCTAGAAAGTATAAAGTATGAAGTATTGTAATCAAATAATATTGAAGAATATTATAATCCTAGATTTCACTTGAAAATGAACCTTCTTGAAATAAACAGACATGTACATATACATATATAATATCACCGCTACAATTATACTTTGAAATAAACCCTCGATTGAGCTACTGTTAGTACCTTTCTCTTTCGTATCTTCGATTACCTTCATAATCTGAATAATCAATGAATGAAATATCTAACATGAATGAAATATCTAAATCAAAGTCACGTTAATAACACATACCATACCAAAAATTAAAGCTATATAGTATAGCACTGTGCATGATCTTCCTATGAAGGCAACATATTTATTTTGAAATGGCCACAGAAAACTGATTTTCATTACTTTTACTTGAACAGACAGCTCAGAGCTGAGGATTCTCGTTAACCATTTGTGATTTTCTTCGATTTCACTATTAATAACCATAGTAGAATTGAACAATGAACCAGCAGAGAATACTTTCCAAACTGAATAACTGTTTGAAAATAAAATGTTCATTTTACAAAAACTTCATTTATTATGTAATTTTAGAAATGGAGCAGCACGCTATGCATGCCTACAGCATACAGTGTTGAGCACAAATCATTAATTCATAGTGTACACCAATTTATGTGTAAATGTTTGAGTGGTATCATTTCACTTACATATAGAACATTTATTATGAAAATAAAATAAACAACTTAGGCTGATGTTATTATTGGTAGTTATTCAAAAGTTATGGTTATAAAGATAAAGATAACATACCCCAGAAGTGTACAACTTGATTTATTAAAAATTCAACAGGAATACGTTGTAATAATCAATGTTCCTTTCATTTTGCATGAGAGACTATAAGTACTATACCTTGCTTACTGACACTACCTTTGCATTACTATTCTTCAAGAATTTTTAAACAAGTATTAGTAAAGTATTAGTAAACAAGAATTTTTAAACAAAGTTCCAGACAATTTTTTGAAAATGTAAAGAATTATTGAAAATAAAGAAAATAGTTGTACATTATTGAAAATCATTCATAGGCCAATGTGTTAATCTTTAATAGTAATTAATATTATAAATTTCTAGTTTTTGTAATTATTTTTCTAGCAGACATATTGTTTTCTGTTTTTTATCAAAGTTTTAACTAATAGTTCACTTAACATATAGATAAAGATAAAATCTTTCTTTAAAGTCCGTAGTTTGAATCTTTTATCATAATCATTATAGTTGCTCTTTTTTAAGGACATATTTACCCTTCATGTACAATCAGAAGTGGAAGTGTTGCGTTGATGCTATTTTTGATTTGCCCTGTCTCAACGTCAAAGCTGGAAAATGTCAGTTTTTATTATTGTTTTTTAGATCATGATTGAATCAGTATATTTTTCAGCTTCAAAGGTATTCATGGATTGATTAAATTTAAAGAAAAATTCAATCAAATTTATTTATTGAAAGTTATATTATATATCATATTTTCTTCTTATTTTATTCATGGAATAATTGTTAATCACATGTATACATCGTAATTGTTTTAACGTGATTTTACTGAAAGTGGCGAGTCCGTATGTCTTGAAAAAGTCGGCGGAACCCATACAGCCCCAACAAGTTGAGGTTTATAACGAATTCCCAGTTCTCCGCAAACCTGTACCTAAGGCCGGTAGACGACAAAACGGCCAAAAGTATTATAATAAAGAATTGTTTGAAGTCCATCTGCGAAAATACGAATGATGTATCTCGTTTAAGGGTCGTATCAAAAGCAGCATAGAAATGTTTGATCGATGCATCAGTAATGGTAAATAATCGTTATTAACAGCAAAATATTACAGTACTAAATTATACGATCATTTTCCAAGAACAAATCTTAAATTAAATACAGCTGCAGGCGATCGATGGTGGATGATCGAGCGGAGAAAAATTAAGAAGTGGTTTTTATGAATTGCTATACTCGCGAGAACGTTGAACATTTAAACGGGTGGCTACGGAATTTGTATTTTGTATACACGTGGAAATTGGCTTACTACTTATATCACGTTTTTAATAAATAATTCATTTCGGTCGGCACGAGCGTAGATTATATAAAAAGTAGCAACAATAATTGTTGCGCAGAAAGATTGACGAATAAAAATTACCTTCAAAAAGTATAAGTAGCAGAAATCGTAGTGGACTTATCACACCACTGCTGGTCTGACGAAAACAAACAAAGCTTCGATCGCCAACGGCTGTCGATGCTACACTGCAAGATGCTGTATACCATACTGTTCGATCTCCTTCGTTCGTCCTCGCGAAATCTGTACAGACAAACACAACCGAATTTTACGACTGAACGATACACTGCAGCGCCTCAAAATTCTCGCGATCTATTTTCCCCGTGTGTTGCGACTGTCGCGAAAAAAACTTACATTCAAATCGCTCGATGTATACAAATACAAAGAAGAATTTACGCGATCGAGCACTTGTGGCATAGCGCGCGAATATCGCAAAACTGCGTTGAACTATCGAACGCGAAAAGTCTTGCCTATCGTTTGCGTTGTCGAGACTGCCGGCACGTTTGCGTGCTAAAACAAAATTCAATATTTCCATTAATTATTCTCGAATTTGAATTAATGTTCTCGAGATCTATAGACTCAGTAACTTTAGAGCTGCGAAGGTACTTATGGTTTTATAAGGATTAACGAGGAATTCAATAAAATCCATGCCTATGTAAGTTTCTGAAGAAAGTCATGTTATACATCGTATTTTATTTAAACATTCTTTTTGTTTACAAACTGACAGTCCTTAAGTTTATGGAATCACGACAAGGTCACGATAATGAGACGATTTTTATTACAAACATAGTAATGAACATTTTCAAATTATTTTATTTTAAATCAGACGAATTGATAAATTATTAACACTTAGAAAAATAGAATAATTAAATCGGCGAACTTGTTGATATTATATTATAATAACTGTCATAAATGTGTACCAAACAAAAGTATTTAACTAAACTTTTGTTAATTACTTAACGTTACTCTCTGATACAGTCAACGTAACGACGCAAAATCAATAAAAAAAGAAACCAATAAGAATTTACGGCAGGATAGGAACAAGTAAAAGTTTGGCGCACATTGCCGAGCAGGTCCCGAAAGCTGTGTTACAAGCTACGACGGCCGGAGGAGCGGCGACGGCAGCTACCATCCCGAATGTGGCACCGGCTGCGGCGTAACAGGCGACGACCACGGCAGCGCAGCCAGCTTGACACGCGCCGTAAGCCGCCGGTCCGGCGCTGACGGTATTGGGCTGCTGCAGCAGCAACGCCAAAATCACCAGTAGAGTCACGAGTGTATATTTTAGCATGTTGATCAATTCGATTCTGCGAAAGTCGTTTAGAGTCAGCTTAAGAATGTTAGCTCGATGCAATAGCTATGTTTAATGCATGCAGTAAAATGTTACATTGCCAAGTTGGCGACCAATGCTTCATGCTATTATAAGTGAAAATATGTACTTCTGTTATTATGATATTATGATCAAGCTGAGAAAAATTAAAAAGTGACTCGACTAAGCAGGGAGAAACATTGAATACTTGAACGGATTTTATACTTTGCATATAGGTACGCAAGTTGAAAAATTTGTCAAACTGATTTTTTTTGTAGGCGTGGAAATTGACTATCACTAGAGCAAAAAACATTTAAAAAACCGCAGCAATAGTTTAGAAAAAAGAACATGAATAAAAATTACCTTGAAAGGAATATCAAGTATGTCAAAAGTCGACTTATCACCACCGTCGATTGACGCAAACAAACAAAGACGAGGATCTCCAACGGCCGTCGCTGCAACACTGCTGGATATGCTGTTCGATCTCCTTCTTTACGAGTTCTACAGCAGAATATACTTACAAACAGCTTTATACTCAATTGACTATGGAACGATATCGAAGCACCTCTATCTCCGCAATTAAATTTTCCACGCAATACGGCGGTCGCGAATAAAACTCACACTCAAATCGTTAGATGTAACAAACATACAAATACAAAGAAGAATTTACGCGATCGAGGTTTTTGCGACCCCGCGCGCCAACATCGCAACTACATCGAAATATCAACGCGAAAAGAATAGTCTTACCTACCGCTAATTACGTTACCGAAACAAAGTTTGAAATTTCTCATCTTTAAGTAACTCACGTGTATTCATCTTGTTATTCATGAATTGTAATTTTTTATCCTTGAATTGAATGATAAAGATAATAATCGATTAAAGAATATTTTGAAAATCAATCTTTATTTAGAAAAGTACAAAAACGTATAACATTACTGTTACATGACTATTATATTGATAATTTTCAGATAAAAAAGACAAATGTCAAGCTGAAGTCCAAGCATTCAGGGTGTGGGTGCCAACAAGACAGGGGAACAGGCTATCATGCAGGCCGACTGACCGGCGTTGCAAGCGAGAATCGCTGGTGAAGCAACTATGGCCAAAATTGTGCCAAATACTCCCCCGGCCACAGGGTAGCAGGCACCAGCAGCTGCGTTGCACGCAGTCAAACACGCTGCGTAAGCCACCGGTCCGGCACTGGCGGCATCGGGCTGCTGCAGCAGCAACAGCATCACACCGATGAGCAGAGCTACGAGCTTATTCCTCTGCATCCTTTTACTCTGCGAACAAATGAACGACGATCCGTTATAAAGATTGTAACGATAGGATGCGAATTTTCGAAATATTTATTGTTCCTTCGTTCAAACCAGTACTAGACTACTGGACTCGAAAGCGCGCATTGTTTCGCGGCACAGAGGATCAATTTATATTTTACTGAACTTAACAAAATCCCGCAAAAAGTCTTAAATCGAATGCAGCTACATTCTAAATTATTTCATCATTTTTTATAATAAATGAATAAATACCTTTTGTTAGAATTGACGATGTAGATAGTAGAAATCAAGCAGGACCCAATACGAATGTCGTGCGTGGAGTGAACTTGGGTGTCGTGTGTGTTGCCGCGTCGGACTCGGAAGCGCAAATGAAAGTCGCACGAGAGTTGCGGTCGCCTAAGCCGGTACTTTTTACACGCGGCGCTGTAACGAAGGACTCGGCAGCTTCGGTCCAAATGAAATTTTTTGCGCTATAACAATTATTAATATGAGGTCGTTCGAGTGGCGGCGCTTTGGACGACTTCGTAATATAGCATACAACAGCGCGAAATTCGAACGACACGTAAACTTTGAAGTCGCTGCTGCGCTGCGATAGAGGGCCGGGCATGTCGTTGACATTGTACGTATATACTACATTTTTTACGTCTTGGATCATAAATCGCAGCTCGATGATCGCTTGAATTCTAAAGAAACCGAGGCAAATTCGGCCATGGTAACACATTCGAATGCTTGCAAAATTTCCTCTCCATGAACTCGAGTCAAATTTAACTTTTCACTTTGCGATAAGTAAAAATATACGTCCCTGTTATCATATTATCGTCGCGCTGAGAAAAAATTAAAAAGTGCCTCGAATAAGCGGGAGATAGATTTTTTTGAATTGCTACAAACTGTAATTCTATTGTACGCGTAGAAATTAACTTACTACTTGTATCATTCGAGCCAAAAATATTCAAAAAACCGCAGCAATAATTGCTACGTAAATGAGAAAAAATTCATGAATAAGAATTACCTAGAAAGGAGTATCAAGTATTTTGGAAAGTAGACTTTTTATCACCACCGTCCCTTGACGCAAACAAACAAAGACTTGGATCTTCAACGGCTGTCGCTGCTGCACTGTGCGAGATACGCCGTTCGATCTTCGAAGACGCGTTATATGTCAGAAGACTGGATTATATGATCCGTGCGTTGTCGAGCCTGCCGGCACATTTTCGCGCCGAATCAATGTTAAATGAATGATATAGTAATGGATTAGAGAATGTTTTCAGAATAAATTCATCTTCATTTATTTAGGCTCATAAAAACTATTATTGTGCATACAAGTGATTGATGATTTTAAGATACAATTGAAAATTTCGACAAGTTGTTAAAAAGCCAAAGTCAATTGTCGAAGTCAACACATTTAGGCATCGGGTGCAACCAATAGAGGCGCGCACATTGCCGAGCAAGACCCGAAAGCTGCGTTGCAAGCCAAGATGGCCAGAGGAGCGACGGCGGCAGTCACCACAGTTCCGAACGTGAAACCAGCTGCGGTGTAACAGGCCACGACCAGGACAACGCAGCCAGCTTGACAGCCGCAAGCCATTATAGCGTCGACGGAATCGAGTTGCTGCAGCAGCGTCACACTGATGAGTAGAGCCACGAGCGTATTCCTCTGCATGTTCTTGACTCTGCGAACATGTGAACGGCGATCCGTTATAAAGATGGTATCAATAAGATACAATTTTTAAAAATACACGTCTTAATCTTTTATTCAAACGAACGCGAGACTCGAAGGCGCACATTACATTCATCGCGGTATACAGAAGATCGATTTACACTACTGAGCTTAGCAATCATATCCCGAAAAAAATAAAATGCAGCTACAAGCAATCAATGTTTAACGTTATTTTTGTAACAAAATAATAAAACATCAATTAATTTAGCAATTATTTTTTACAAAGAAATCTTAAATCAAAATCAGCTACAAGCGAACGATGTTTGACGTTATTTTTTGTAAGAAAATAAACTTAGCAATTATTTTTCGTAAAGAAATTTTAAATCAAATGCAACTACAAGCGATCAATGTTTTACGTTATTTTTTTGTAATGCAAGAATAAATACCTTTTGTTAGAATAGACGATGTGGATAATAGAAATCAAGCAGGGCTTGAGTGTCGTGCGTGTTGCCGCGTCGGACTCGGAAGCGCAAACAAAACTCACAAGATTTTGTCGCTGGTATACTTCATACGCGCGGCGTTGTAACAAAGGACGAGGCACGAGAAACTGAGGCAGTAATTCGCCTTCGGTCCAAATCAAATTTTCTGCGTTATAACATTCATAGGTCGTTCGAGTGGCGGCGCTTCGGACGACTTCGTAATATAGCTCGACAGCGCGAAATTCGTACGACGTGCAAACTTTGTAGCCGCTGCGATAGACGGGGGCGGGCACGTCGTTAACATTGTATGCGTATACATTTTTTACGTCTCGGATCATATATCGCAACTCTAAAGTTCGGCCATGGTAGTACATTTGAATGCTTGCAAAATTTCGTCTCAATGAACTCGAGTCCAATATTATTTTTATATAAAATATATTATATAATATGTTTGAGCTTATAAACATCAAATTTGCTGTTATGCCATACCCAAGCTTTACCTATGGAACGTAAGTCAAAATCATGCAAAACTTCATACATTCATAAAATCCGATGTCTCTTTTTGTGTTGTGCGATGCATGTTTATGTTCAATAATATTGATGCACGCGGGCGCGACTCGACGTGTTTTCGAGAATGTGTCGGTTAGGGCGCAGACGACAGTGCCGCAACGGCATGTGATCCACACTGTCGAATCTTCATCTATACAAGTTCAGTAGACGTTACGACGCCGCAGCGTAAACAAAGAAACATCGCATCAATTGCAACGGTACAGTGGGTGTCGCGAAATAAAACAATAGCTTGAATTACAAACGACTGTGTATATATCGTGCGATTGTGCTCAGACCAATGACTATGACAAACGACGGATTACTCGAGCTCGTGCAAGAAGCAGACGAGGATCTGTCGCTACACTTGGCTCTGGTCAGCGGCGACAAAGAGAAGGTCGAATCGCTGCTGAGAAACGGCGCCGATCAGAATATAACCGACGAAAAGGGATCGACTCCTCTGCACATCATTTGTCAGAGAGAGGAATCTTTCGATGGTCAAAGTTTGGAATTGGCGGAGCTGTTTTTCAAAATTAACGACGAGAAACATCAACCGGTAGAGATAAACGCCCAAAACGAAGCGGGTGATACGCCATTGCACTTGGCTCTGGTCAACGGCAACAAGAAGATGTTTGAATTGCTGCTCAGGCGAGGTGCTCATTCGAATCTAGCCAATGCAGAGGGTTCGACTCCTCTGCACGTCATTTGTAATAATTACGACGACGACACGATGGATCTGTTCTTTCGGATCAACGACGACATTCAGCAGACGATGCAGATCGACTCGCGAGACAAAAAGGGTAACAGACCGTTGCACCTGGCTCTGACTCGAGGCAACAAAAACACCACCGAATCGCTGCTGAGACGCGGCGCCCATCCGAATTTGTCCAACGAGGACGGCGAGACTCCTCTGCACGTCATCTGCAAGAGAGAGCGATACTTCGACGAGGGCCTGACGGAATTTTTTTTCAAGATCAACGACGAGCTGAATCAGCCGGTGCGCATCGACGCGCGAGACAAGTTAGGCCGGACGCCGCTGCACTGGGCCGTGACGAATCTCTCGCTGAATACCGTGGACGCCCTGCTGGATCGTGGCGCCGATCTGTCGAGCTTCGTTTTCCCCACCGCGGACGAATTCGACCGGGGATTCGAGGCGCAACATTCCAATCACCGACTTCAATTCGATCTGAAACTGATGTCCGGCACCATGAAGGTCGTCGGACGTCTTCGGCAGAGAGGATACGAGCTGGAACGAAGCGACGCGCTGACGATCATGGACGCGTTGGCCAAGCACGGACTGCTCAAGAAGTCGGCGGATCTCGAGGAACGTTGGTTGCAAGACACTCTCAAGAACGAGGAGTTCGCGAGCGGAGTGAACGAGATAATGGCGAGCTTGAATCTGACGCTGCACGACGTGGCGCGGAGTCTCCGCGAGAAACTGGCGAGTTTGTTTTGCCGGCCGTGGGCGTTGGATTCTTTGTTGGAGCT